AAATTAATGCATAGGTCACAATTCAAATAATAAATAAAATGTCATTTGTGCGCCAAATATTCATTAATTGTATAAAACGTGCTGTTAATTGTATAAATGTAGTTTTTATTTTAAAAACAGATCCAGTTAATGATCGTATCTCACCATGTAGTTCATTTAATATTTTTACTGCCATTACAGCAGCATTTTACCAACCAATTGACTTTGGTTGAATTGGTTGGAAAAAATGCTACAATTATTCTACATTTAGAAATTTCTTGTAAATTTGTACGGTGTTTACATTGTGATTTACCTGAGACCGATTGTTTAGCAGGGACGAATTGAGGATGTTCGTTACCAAAAATACCAATTTGCTTAATAGAGTTCAGTCAGCGTGAGTAGTATGAATTTTTAAAGTAATAATAATAGTTGTAACCGTTGCCACTAATAAAAGAAGAAAACAAATACCGATCGCAGATACAGACGTCCGATAACTTCAATGTGACAATGTGGATCGGACATCAATAAATGCGGCCCCTCCCTAAATCACATTAGTTTAGCTCAATAATTCATATCGGTGATCAAACTGACCGTAGGTTAATGATATTTAGTGGCCAAGTAATGGCTTGATTTGTGTAATTATGGGATACTGAGATGGATGGTATGTCAATTAGAGCTATGATTGATGCCGAAATCGATTCCAACGTTAAACTGGTTTATCGAAGTTATTAAATGTAACATACGTAAATACTCGTGATCCGCCAACCTAAAGTTTCTGTTCTGTTTAAAAATTTATCAAAATTCGAATAGTTCTTTTAATTTTATATAAATCATATTCGTGAAAATTATCTATGCGTCATAGACAGCGTCAGGTCTTAACTTCGTACCATCATAAATTACGTAGTTATTGCCTTTCGAATGTGGACTAAATTTATTTTACGGAGAATTGGAATGTATCTTCTGGTTTCTGGCATTATTATCGGTATAACATATGAAAAACTTTGCTAAATTAACAGCTAACCTCCCTTTTACATGTTTATGATTTAGAGTTTATAATATATTTATTTCTATAAAGAAATTGCAATTTAATATTAAATTTTGCTGAAAATTTGCATTCAAATCGTTATTCAACGTTTCGGTATCTCAAACAAAACAATTAACAGAGTTTCAGCAGCGAACAATAATTGTTCACTTCATTAAGTTTTATGGTACTTGCACGTAAGCAATTAATAAATGTTAATAAAAAGAATTCATTTAAAAAAGGATAATAATAATTATTATAATTTGTTACATTATGTACTATTTACAAATTGCAAGAAATAATGAGTTTTACGATTATCATTCCAAACAATAGGAGAATAGTAGCTGTTACTAATTTAGTGAGCCCCCACGGTAGTTGAAGACCAACATATATCAAAATTACATAACTTAAATGGCAATTAATGTTAATTAAATGCAATCTATATATATTAATAAAAAAATAAATAAATAAACGCATTTCATGTCTTTTTTATTGATTGTATTTTACGGCTGAAAGAATGACGGAACTGATATATGTCTCTACAGCGTAAAATTGGAATAATGTTGATGATGAATGTAAATGTTGAATGAAATTGGGAGCCAGGGAAGGCTTAGAAACAACCTTCAAGATCAAATTGATTGAGTTCTATTGGTAGGTGGGCATGTGTGAAAAGAACTACGAAAGAAACGAAATACGTATGTAAGAAAGAAACTTTAATAAGTCTCGAACTTAGGATTGTTAAGTTTTCAGTTTCAATTTAATAAAATCATTATTACTTTATGAATCAAATAATACCTTCATTGAACCTCTATGTGACATAGAGGTTCAATGAAGGGTGTTTTATGATTAAATAGCATTACAGTACCTCTGGTTTTTAATACATAGACTGAAATCTTCTAGCTGCCTTCGATACACGTCACATTTCTCAGAAAAAAAAATAAAAGCCACTCTAAATCGCAATAAAATATATATCATCTTTAGATGTGTAAAAAATGCAGTTTTATCTGAATAAAAGTAAATATAACTATTAATTTAAAATAATTTTTCAACCTTGGACGATAACCCAAAGGACGCTAAAAAGTCATATTTAAAAAGTTTGAGTTTTGACGTTAAAGTGTTTCACTCGCTTCATTGTCGTTCATCTAGTGGCGAGTGATTAATATAAAACAATGAATATCTTATGTCAAATGTAAATTAGTAGTAAAAGAACAGTGGACTCGATTCAAATGATTCAAAAATAAAGCTCCTGTTCTTTCGTTGTTGTACTTTACAGAAATTATTCATAGTTTGGCTTACACAGCTCGCACGCGAAATTTTCAGTTGCTAGTGTCATTACTGCCTTTTGTCGCAAAATTATTTTTATCAATATGTAATCAGATTAATGCTGTTGTTCAGCAAATATAACTGTTAATGCATAATTATGTGTACACATCATATCAGGAGATTAAACAAATAAAGTTTCATAATGAATATACTCATGTTATAACTCATACGAATTAACATGAGGACCTATTTCGATCAATAATATAGAAAATAACGGATATCGAACGTTTTTATAATTTTATTATAATAATGTCCGTGAAAATTATATGCGCAGCCGAAGCAATGTCAGGTCCTACCTCTTTCTTTCTTGCTTTCTTCTGCTACCTTCTTTGGAGTCATATTAGCTTTTCGAAAACAGACAAAATTTCATTTTTGGAGGAATATTACAGGCCTACAGGTGTTATATTAATTCGTTCGAGTAGGAAGAATTGATTGTAGACGAATGTAATCTATGAAACAATTCATTCACTATCAAATATGGTTGAACTGTCACATTCCAATAACGTATAACAGAAGGCATAAGTCATGCCGATGACAAAGCACTTATATAATCCGCGTTTCATCCACACACACGCGATTGGGACAAAGGAATGGGGCAGCGAGTGTCAGCACGTGAAATATATAAAACCAGTTCGGTATTCAGGGGCGTTCTATTTCTACCAAAAAGGTTTTTACGTTTCTTTTATATTGCACATAAAATTCTTAATGAATGTAGTTGGTAAGAGTATCCGTTTCGATAGTAACTGTAGTGTGCATCTGTGTGTAGTATTGGAATATCTTATATGAAAGGAATAATGAGTGCAACTTCAATGATAAGAAGCGAGCATGTCAGTGTTTGTTAATATAACAAATTTTAAATACCTTTTTATTAAATGTATCATAACATTGTGTAAAAGGCAAAGGTTAGAAAATTAATAAAAATGTAACACTTAAACATTAAGATTACCCATTTAGTTTATTAAACGCAACAAAAAATAAGCAAATCTATGAATTAAATTTGACCAACAAGTTAAACGACTAAAAAGCATTCCAGATTCTATAATTCAGTATATGTCATCATACACTTTTGTAAGTGTTATCTTCAAATTTAAATAATATGTTGCCCTGAATACAGGTCTGACTGGCCTTTAATAAAGCGAATGTACATAGTTTTAGAGACAGTTTATTAGAACGCACAGGGCAGATTTCTGCAATTCAAACTGTGGTTGATGTTTGACAAATGACAATAGAAGCTTTTGTGGAATGAGTTTTAGAAATGTCAGTGCAGTTAGAACGGTTTTGTTAGTTGTTGTTATTGGTAACTTTTGTTTTATATTAATTATACAAATCAAATCATTTATTTTACTTATATTAATATTAAAAAAAAAATACTTTTAATAGTTACACATCTATAATTACGAATTGTGAATTATGAAACACGAAAAATGATTTATTGCTGTTTGACTGAATTGTTAAACTATTGGTATCGATGGCGAGCACCGCGGCCCGCGATCGTTGCTGTAAAACAACTTTCCCAATAGTCGGTCCCGGAATGGGTGACCAAAATATTATCAGAGCTACTCTATACTTTGAATGGCACGTAAAGCCGTATCTAACAGTTGAATTTGTTGTGAACTTAATTTTAGCTACACAAGCGAAATAGTTGAATATCGGAATATTAACTCAATAATGCTTATAAAGCTAACACAGCAGTTTGATTATTGCTTGTTTACAAACAATTGTTATCAAAGGGAATCATAGGGAAAAATAGATATTGCAAAGGCGTCAAAGAAATTTTTCAATCACGGAGTTCGATAGATAGCACGGACACAGGACGGACAGCCTCTACGGACTCATCTCATTGATCAATAAGACAATGACTGACCAATGAAAGCAACGAACAGATATCGCCCGCACGACGCACGCTGCATGCAGTGATCGACCAATGTAATTGAGATATTAATTCTAAAGTGAGTAGATGCTTATCCCTAAAATATATATGTAATAAAATTCAAATCACTGGAAGGATGGACAGACAGATAGCCGAATGACTCTATAAGGATTTTATTTAATCCTTTTGAATCGTGGAAGTATACAAAATTAAACGTTTACTTGCTTGCTTATTATAATTTAAAATAAAATTTAAAGCGCTGGTGTACACGGGTTGCTTAAATGTGATTATTTTACTGTTAAATCCAACTTAATTGAATACGCAGACAATGTCGATTATTCAAAGAATGTCTAAATGTCGTATCATTAGACGAGCAGGCATGAAATATTAATTAGTTTTCTCCCTAGAAATTATAACGTGATAGAGAATGACTAAAACTCTATTAATTAAATAATTCAAAAGCTTTGTTTATTATTTCGGAATGTTCTATATAATTAACTTGACATCGATTTCAATAACCAACGTAATCAAGTTAAATTAGACTTGTTTTTGTTCAAAATTGTTTTTGTTTCAAAAATTAAAGTGTTTTTGTATCAATATGAAATTCAATATTGTTCAATGAATTTTCAAGGAATTTTATAATCAAATCAAATCAAAATTATTTATTCAGTCTAGGCTGTTACAAGCACTTGTGAAAGTTGAGAGCTACGCCATCGGTTCGTAAATCTACGGCGGGAGACCTAATTATGGTACATATAAGCAAAAAAGACTCAAATATTTTTTTTTTTAATAGTGGACACAAATTTTTCATATCAAATGCATCGTAGCAGCTGAAAGAATCACATTTTAGAATTATTCACATCATTTGTAAATCTAATACCCACACTTGTGCGCCTATACTCTACACAAATCTACTAGGAATTCGTGTGATACATCGAATTTGTTGATTATAATAAAAAATAGAAAGGGTATATTTATAGTCAAACAAGATCATTCGCCTTTTAATTAAAATTCTAACGTTCCTATTATATCCATACTCACGTTTATCAATGAAGCTGTAAGTTCCGACAAAGCCAGTAGCGTTGTTCTGCTTCGGTCCCGTATGGAACTCTAGTACTAACGCTGGCCCTGGTGAGTAAAGCTCGGGAGGGGCGTCCGCCCTACTGCCACACAAATCCCTGACCCACGCTGACCGCTCGCTGATGGCGCCAGGAGGCCCTGGACCTTGCACTTCCCAGTACACTTTCAGATAATCACCACGGATGCAACTGAAACAAAATAAACGGTTATATTTAATTTACATATTTCTCTTAGAAAAGTAATAGTTATTTAAGATACGAGTGCGGAGAGTAAGGTTTTACGAATAAGGGCCAAATTCGAATCATTGGTACGAATTCGAAAAACCTTTAACGCTCAAGTTTCTTACAATATTTTTCAATGCTTTTTGCGTGGAAATAAAACAAATATATAGGTTAATAAAACTAAGTATGTGTTAAAGGTAAAAATTATTTGTTAAAATTAAACGTGATATTTGAACATGTTTTCGTGTCATACTCGAAAAACCTTTTACGCTCAAGTTTCTTACAACATTTTTCAATGCTTTTTGCGAGGAAATAAAACAATTATATAGGTTAATAAAAGTAAGTATACATTAAAGGTAAAAATTATTTGTTAAAATTAAACGTGATATTTTTGAACATGTTTTCGTGTCATAAATTTTTATTTGAAAATATTGGTTCTAGGCTCCTTGAAATAGGTACTTATAGCCTCTAAAGTTTGACATATTTTCATATTTTTTTTTTAAATTTCTTTGGTGCTTGGCCAAAAAAATTAAAAAAATACTTTTAAGCACGTGTGCAGTAAAGGATTTCAGTACATTTTTATTTAACACGTGTTTAAAGACTCACTTTCGGTATTTACAATGGATTAAAATAATAGCGCTTTATGAGCAACTGCATTGAAAAATGCTTTTCTTTAACGGTAATGCGGTAGCTAATTTTCATTCATCATCATCCCTTTTACGTCTCCGTGCAGGGGCTCATACCTTAATTATGGATGATTAAGGAGGATGGGCCATGACTTTACACGCTGTGGCCCAATGCGGATTGAAGGGTACGAACGCCGGCAGATGGACCCAACGGTTTAACGTGACTTCGAAGTCCAGTGCAGCTCGAAATTATTATTTTTTGGTCACTTATCCCGTGACCGATCCTTGCGAAAGTTGCTTAACAACAACGATCGCGGGTCGCTCTGCTTATCCACAACGCCACCGAGCTGCATAATTTTAAACAAAAGTTGTTCAAAATTACTAAAATTGTTTATTTCCATGTAGCGATTTGATGCTTCAATTTTTATTGACGCAACCATACGCCTACATAAATTACTAAGGGTTAATTTCACCTCAAATTATTCATTTTGTAATATTTATTTACTAGTTTTAATGTTACAAATACTAGGTCTCGTGTGAATTGAATAAAGCAAACTGAAGAAAGCGCTTCGAACCATAACAGATGGTGTTCTTTAGATGGAGAACACAATTCACTTCGGGGCGCTTTGTCAGTGGAGTAAGTAGTATATTTTATAAGAGTTTTTAATGATAAAAAAAAATCATTAAATTTTATAAATTGTTGATGGAAACTGACTATGATTGCTAAAGAAGTTGAAGAAAATATACTGGACTAGGCTGGCTGTACAGTCAACTAAACATCAGGTCATACAGTACTGCCAAATTTAATACCTTCAATCAAGCATTAATAACTTGCAAAATTTCAAAATCAATTGCAAAACAAATAAAAGCGCCTTTTGTGACTTCTAAGAGGGACTGTACTAAAGTCACATTATTTCAGCAACAATTTTTATACTAATGACACATCTCCATTTTCAAGATGAGAGAAAATGATGAGGGTAGATATTGCTTGAGACAAAAAGCTCTAAAATTCCCCGTACTAGGTATTAAAGTAACGAGTACGTTATAACCTAAGGTTCGGAGAAGAGTTTTAGGGCGATATTTTAAAATGAACCAGCATTAACGTCGCTGTTGGATACTTTATTGAAAATCGTTGGCTAAGGCAGAGCTTAGTGTTTTCATTTTATGAAATAAAGTTAGCGTCGAAGCTCTCTCGTAGACTACATATAGATTAAATTTTTACTCAGTGGTGTCAGTATAAAAACGTGTTTAGAGTATGGTCGTAAATTAACTTCTAACGCCATTTTGGTTACGAACAGAAAACTTTATATTGATATTGAAAAGATTTATCATTAGGAATATTAAAAGCCGTTTTCAAGTATTGTTCAAAGCAACACATTGAGCAATCATTTATTATTGTTATTCTATATAATAGAATAAATATTTATATAGACTAGTCTCTATCCGGAAATTTGCGTTCATGGGATTTGGAACTTTACAAATCAGTCGGCAGATCGTTTTAAAGAGAAAATTGCTTGAAGCTGTCTGTACGCTGAGCCTTTGTAAACACAACGGATTTTTAATGCGGTTTATCATCTATATACAGAGTGATTTAAGATGAATAATTATAGGTATGTATAATACAGGATCACCCGGTGAAACCACTGGCGGAAACCGGGTGTTTTTATATTTACTAAAAGTCATAAAATTGAGGACCAGTAGCTTTTGCATAAAGAAATGTATCCAAACATCAATACATTAAAATAAATAGATATTTAAAATCTTTCTATATAAATAATGTATTCATGAAAACCACGAATAATATTACAAGCATGAAAGCTATTCATAGCAGTCATTTAGCTGTATTGAAATTAAATTGCGACAAACATTAATGATTCATAGGAATACTGAATACAAAACGAGCACATGCAGTTTATTATGCAGTTAAAGTTATAAATATTTGAAAGCTTAAACGCATGGGAAACCGATGCAAAATTTAATTTTTAATACAATTTTTTTTGTATATACTTCTACTAGACAAAACTTCTTTAAACAACACACTTAGTGTTATGATGAAAAAATAAAACCGGAAAGGTTCCGTACTATACCTATGAAAAAAGTAAAAAAAAAACACGCATGGCAGCCCCTTAATTATTTATTTTATTTTGGTTTTTAGTATTTGTTGTTGAAGCGAAAACACGAATACATCATCTGTGAAAATTTTAACTATCCAACTTTCATTTTTCATGAGATGTAGCCTGGCGACAGACAGACAGACAGCGAAGCATCAGTAATAGGGCTACCGTTTTACCCTTTCGGTTCATAATGTTCATGAAAAAAACATTATTGTATGCTATATTGAGCGGTATGGAATTTAATAAAAATGTAGATAGAATATTCTCCAATATTGTGCACACAAACCTTACAATATTTTATGTAAACGGGAGACGTATAAATGGTGGCTTATTCCAGGAAACCTTGGGATAGTGTTCGAAACAAAAAAGATTTAATTTAATACAATCTATATTAAATATTATCGAGAGGAAAAATTTTATTGTTTGTTTGAAACTATTTAAAAAAGTTTTTTACCTACGGTAAGCTACATCGTACACGTTGAACATAGACTATATTTTATTCCGATAAACAGCATATAATGGGAGTGGAGGTTTGTGTAGGGAATAGGTTGCATTCAACAACATTTTTATGCACCTAAATCTTTTTTTACCATAAGAAATGCATTACTGCATACCTCACTTCCCCTGTGCAGGTCCTCGACGTTATGTGGGACACTCTCTAGAAGAAAGCTAAGTAAAATGCAGGAGCAGGAGTAAAATGCCATTAAAACTCACCGAGGTCCCTCTCTATGGCAGGCGATGCACATTAACAACCTAGTTCTAAGTAAAGCTAACTTTAAGCGTGCTTTACTTACAAGCATTAGACCAATAATTAAGAGATAGTATTGTGAAAATATAAAAGATGAACGTATAAAAACAGAACAAATACCCTAAATGTTATGTTATGTTATTTATCATTCTATGTATAGAAACTTTTTAAACCATAAGATCTCTAAATTATTGAAATTTAGACTAACTTAGAAAGTTAGTTTCCTCTAGAATAAAAAGAAGACATTCCATGTTTGGTAAATCTTTTTCAGTACCTACTTTTATTTATTACCGTTTATATTAACATAATTATATAGGTTTATTGTGCAATTACTCAATAATAGCCGGCTATTAGCTCTAACCGCATTACATCACACGGCCGTTCGCCTTTTATTCGTTCCTTAACGTTTCTCGAGACAATCAAAGACAGAACATTCTCATATCACCCGGCAATCAATCTTTCCGTTATACGGGTGTTTCTGACATTCCCTGGCCAGTGTGGCTAATACACGTAGTAATATCCTTATCATTGATTTCTCGTAAAGCGCTTTTGTGTGAGATAAGTAAAGAAAGAAAGATCTATACTTTGGAAGCTAATAAAACACTTTTTGTTTTAGTTTTATTATCCATCTTACATTAATATAGTATAATAGATGTGATTGTTATACTTTTGCAGTGATATTAATAAACTAGGTTTAGCGTTGGAGTAAATTTACGTTAAGACTGCACTGATTATTATTATTAGTCTAAATTCATATTTTTAAACAAAGACTTAGCAAAGATTAACCTAGTACGAGGTTCTACGGAAGTAATATTTATTCCTAGAATGTAGTATGTTTATTTATTTTCTGTATAGTAAGAATTTGGACTAATACTAAAATTGCAATTTTAGCGAAAATTTACTCTGACGCTAAACCTTATTTACTTACACTGTTGGAGAATATTAACTACAAACTAATTAGTGTTTGGTTAGAGTAATACTAAGATGTCACATTAAGTTTGAATTTATTAAGACGTTTACTTTAACACACCAAAAAGAAGAAAGACGGGTGGACGGTAGATAAACAATTTGATTGATTTTATAATGTTATGAAACTTAATTGTAAAACGACGATGGCGGAAAGAAAAACATATTGATTTTGAAACATACTAGAATCGATAAATGTAGTTTTGGACGAGTTTTTTCGTCTCCACTAGCTGAAACGACAGAAGATACCTATACACTGAATTCCTTGCGAGAAAAACAAACAGGAACAAGACCCACATGCCACAGTTTATCATCATTCTACCAATGCTTCAATGAACTAATAGCTCTTTACTTGTCGGCTTTTCGGGCTTCTGTCTTTCCTTTACAATAAAATTAGACCAATTTAATTTAAGAGCGCATTTAATAGATATTACTATGAGTGCAAAGTAGTATTTCCTAAAAAGAAGTTTTACATAAAAATGAATGCAAGCCAACCGAGACAATGTAGACAATAAACTGTGTAGAATCTGAATCATCAAAATATCTAACAAAAAATTCAAATGTTATACGAGTTAATGAGTTTATTATTGGAAAGGTTAAAGCTGAGCCTTCGGTATAAAAAAAATGTTCTTAGTGCTCGCGGCGGTGACACAGAAGTCAGAATAGCAAACCCCCGAAAGCACACCAGATATCTTTTTAGTGGTGTAATCAATGGAAAATAATGGAAAAAATAACTTTGTAATATACATATATAATTTATATATTCAAATAAAAACAATCATGGAAATCATTAAACTAGATTAGGCCAATTAATTATTATTCAGTGAACTTCGTAATGATGACGATATAAGTGTAAAATGTTTATTGTATGCGGATGATATTTACGGTGGCTGTAAAATAAAGACTTTCAGCTAGTTCTGTAATAAAACTGGAAAAATGCTTGTAAAAGTCGGATAAGCATCGGTGAATTGTTGCAGTGTGGCTTTAAATTTAAGCCGTATCACAACAGTTCCATTGTTAAGTTTATATTTTTCGGATTCGAGTTTCGAAATAAGAACTTTTTTATTGATTTAAGAAGGCTATTGTGTGCTAACAATGACATTGAAAGTTATTATTAACAAAGCAAAAAGCGTGTAAAGTAAATATAATGTTATAAACATGTAACTTTATTTTGAACTTCTGTTCATTTTGCATTTAATTAGCTTTCCGCCAGCGGCTTCATTTACAATAACGAAACTTACATTAAAATCCATTTAAAAGATCTCATCTTACAGACAGCGGGAGGCGACTTTATTTTATTCTGTGATAGATAAATGGTTAAAATTTACTAAAAATTGAACTTATAGAATCCTTTACTATATTTCAACAATCATTATTATTTATGTTTTATACAAAACAACTACACAAAAACAATGAGATTCCGCAGTTGAGCTTTACGTATTGTTAATGAAACAGCGGTAGCTCAAACAAAGAACAGATCGATTGAAGGCCTTTTAAAATAGAGACACAACTGTTTTTCTCTCCTCTAGCACCTACAATCTTATCGGACGATCGCAATGCCGGTGACAGGCCATTTTTAAGAGTACCCTTACCTAACTCAATTGGACAGAAATGACAAGTTTCTTACGAGCAAGGTGAGAATGTTGTATACGTTTTGTA